TCTGCTGTCTACTCTTGGGTGTATTTGCTTTGTTTTGTTCTAGAGATTTCAGGTGAGTTGTCAAGGTGCTAGTGTATGCTCTTTTCAGTTTCCTTTTGGAGGCACTCAGAGCTATGAGTTTTTCTCTTAGCACTGCTTTCATTGTGTCCCATAATTTTGGGTATGACGAGCCTATATTTTCATCAAATTCTAAAAAGTCTTCAATTTCTTTATTTCTTCCTTGACCAAGTTATCATTGAGTAGAGTAATGTTCAGCTCCCATGTGTATGTGGGCTTTCTGTTGTTTTTTTTTGTTATTGAAGACCAGCCTTAGTCTGTGGTGATCTGATAGGATGCACGAGATTATTTCAATCTTCTTGTAATGGTTGAGGGCTGTTTTATGACTGATTATATGGTCTGTTTTGGAGAATGTACCATGAGGAGCTGAGAAGATGGTATATTCTTGTGTTTTAGGAAAAAATGTTCTATAGATATCTGTTAAATCCATTTGGTCCATCAGTTCTGTTAGTTGCACTGTGTCTCTGTTCAGTTTCTGTTTCCATGATGTGTCCATTGTTGAGAGAGGGCTGTTTAAGTCTCCCACTATTATTGTGTGAGGTGCAAAGTGTGCTTTGAGCTTTAGTAAACTTTTTTTTTTATGAATGTGAGTGCCCTTGCATTTGGAGCATAGATGTTCAGAACTGAGAGTTCTTCTTGGTAGATTTTTCCTTTGATGAGTATGAGTGTCCTTCCTTATCTTTTTTTGATAACTTTTGATTGGAAGTCTATTTCATTTGATATTAGAATGTCTACCCCAGCCTGTTTCTAGGTACTATTTGCTTAGAAAATTGTTTTCTAGTCCTTTACTCTGAGGCAGTGTCTGTCTTTGTCACTGAGGTACATTTCCTGTGTGCAACAAAATGCTGGGTCCTGTTTACATATCCAGTCTGTTAGTCTATGTCTTCTTTATCGGGAAATTGAGTTCCTTGATATTAATAGATATTAAGGAATAGTGATGGTTGCTTCCTGTTATTTTTATTGTTAGAGGTGAAATTATGTTTGTGTGGCTATCTTTTTTGGGTTTGTTGAAAGAAAAGAACTTTCTTTTCTTTTCTTTTCTAGGGTGTAGTTTTCCTGCTTGTGTTGGAGATTTTTTTAAAATCTATTATGCTTTGTAGGGCTGGATTTGTGGAAAGATATTGTGTAAATTTACATTTGTTGTGGAATATCTTGGTTTCTCCATCTATGGTAATTGAGAGTTGTGCAGGGTATGGTAATCTGGGCTGCCATTTGTGTTCTCTTAGGGTCTGTATGACATCTGTCCAGAATCTTCTAGCTTGCATAGTGTCTGGTGAAAAGTCTGGTGTAATTCTGATAGGTCTGCCTTCATATGTTACTTGACCTTTTTTTCTTACTGCTTTTAATATTCTTTTTTTTTTTTGTGAATTTGGTGTTTTGACTATTATGTGACAGGATAAATTTCTTTTCTGATCTGGTCTATTTGGAGTTCTGTAGGCTTCTTGTATGTTTAAGGGCATCTCATTCTTTAGGTTAGGGAAGTTTTCCTCAATAATTTTGTTGAAGATATTTACTGGCCCTTTAAGTTGGGAATCTTCATTCTCATCTATACCTATTATCCTTAGGTTTGGTCTTCTCACTGTGTCCTGGATTTCCTGGATGTTTTGGGTTAGGTCTTTGCATTTTGCATTTTCTTTGATCCCTGCTCCACTGCCGCCACCTGCTGGTTCCCTAATCCCAAGTCATGGGCTCTGTTCTAGTTTCATGGTTTGTACTTAGCTGAATTCCCATGGGGACCCTGCTGTGGGAAGAGACAAATAAATGCATTTCTTTGAGTTTGAGTCGAGCTTGGTCTGTATATCTAGTTTCACGGCAGCAAGCACTGCATAGTAAAAATTTGTCTCTAAAAACCAAACCAAACCAAACAAATAAACAAAGACCAAAAATCCCAAAAATACAAAACAAAAAGAAAACAAACAACACCCCCAACCCCCGAAAACCAAACCAAAACAACAAAACCCCACACATCAAAATACCAAGAAGCCAAGCAAAAAAAAACCAAGGTTGATATTCAAGTTAGATGGTATCCCTAATCCTAATGCCTGAGGGTGTCCTGCAGACTGCATAATCTGAGCACATACTTACATACATATGCATGCATCCACATGGGTGTAAATATGGACATGCATGTGTGCATGTGCACATACACACACACACACACACACACACACACACACACACACACACAAATAGGTAGATAGGTAGAGAGATAGAGAGAAACCATATAAGGCGTCTTTAACCGTTGATCAGATTCCATGACTTTCCCCAGTCTTCATGCTGACTAAAAAATGACCTCCCTCAGACCAGGCTCAGGACTCTATCGACTCCAGTTCCTGACAGTGTCCACAGCATTCAGATTCTCTGATTTTATGCTCAAATTGGTTATCTTATGACAGCTGTGTGAGAGAGAACAGGCTCAAGGGTTTCTATTTCTCTCTGAACCCTCCCATTCTACAAACATCCCTCAGATAACACATCCTGCAGGCTCTGTGGGCCCTGACTCAGCAGATAACCTGAAATGAAAAGTATCCCTGTCTTATCCATTTCTGTCACACCATCTACCTACACACTCCTTGGTTTCTCTTCCCTAATGACAACACACAGACCCCAAATGGAACCCTAGAATACCCCACTCAGACTGGGGCCAAGAGAGAGTGGAGGAGAAGCTAGAGAGGGTGGCAGAAGGATGCCTGCTGGTGGTGAAGACAGGACTTTCAGGCTGCAGCTGCAGCTTTACAATAGCACAGTTGCCCCAGCCTGAGCTCCTGCCTGCACCTCTGTCCAGGGAAGGCCTCAGGAAGAGACTCTATATTGTGTCCTAAAGGCTCAGTGAGTAGAACTGTTTCCAGGTCAGTCTTCTCTGGTATGAGATCTCCCAAATTTTGCTGATAGCCAATGACAGAAGCATTTGTGCAAGGATCATTGAGTTTGTGCTCACGGAAACAAAGAAACTCCCCCTTCCACCCTCAGTGTTATGTATATAGTTTAAAGAACAAAATCAAAATCAAACAAATGAACAAAACCCAGAAAAGTATGAATAAGCCGGGCATGGTGGTGCAGAAATTCGTCCCATTCTGTAGGATGCAGCAGCAGGGGCATCTCTCAGTTTGAGGCCTGTTTGGTTTACGGAGCAAGTTCCAGAACAGTGAAATCTACATAGTAGAGACCCCATTCTCAAAAACAAACAAAACAAAAAGAACAAAATAGAAACAAAGTAATACTAAGATATTGATAGTCACAAACGTTGTTTATAGAAATCTGGAGAGATAACTGGTATCCTCCATGTTTCCATCGCCAGCCAAAAGGGAACTAATCGATGACCTTTCTCCATGACCTCTCTGTTCATTTGAGGTTTGGTTAACTTTGCTGTTGGTTTCAAGGCAAAGTTCCATGTAACCCAGGCTGGTCTCAAAAAGGTGCTAAGAGTAGCCTCCAGTTCAGTGATTCTCAGCCTTCCTAATGCTGTGACAACCTTTTCTCATGGGGGTGACTTCAATCATAAAATTATTTCATTGTTATCTCATAACTGTGATTGATCTACTATTATGCTCACAATATAAACATCTGATATAAAGGATAGCTGACATGTCACTCCTGTGAAAGGGTAGTTCTACCCTCAAAGAGGTGTTGACCCATAGGTTGAGAACCAGTGCTCCAACTGATACTCTTCCCATCACTACCTGTCAGAGGTTGGAATGAAAGGCATGATATCATGTCCAATTTCCTTTGATATTTTTTCTTACTGACCAGCTCAGTCCAGGAAGCACACATTCCAAAGACTGATAGCCAGGCAGAAGCCAACGTCTTCTCCCCACTTGGACCATAATGTTCACTTGTAGCAGATCAGAGATCCAGTTTTTCCAAGGGTATTCAACCAGGATTAAGCTCTGTGTGATGTTGAGAATGTTAGTTCTGTGTAAGTCTTCAATATGGGTATCTCTGTGTTTTTTCCCTTTGATCAATGGAAAAGAATCTGGGAAGTCACATGACCATTTGAGGAACTGAATTAAGGCCCCTTCTCTGTGGCAGAGGCCTGTGTTGTGGAGCTGACCAATGGACTCCTTTAGATGACTGGACAGACCACCATCATCGCATCCTGCTGTGAGAACACTTCAGAGGTGCTCAGAGGAAACCCCACCACAGCTCCCATGGTCACTGTGCCCATGAGAGCTGCTGAGTTCAGCCTCAGGAGGCTTGGATGCAGTCACAACCACAGCAGGCACCTCACAGCGGCTCTGGGACACTTCACTTTACCACATGTTGCCTTGGTGACTTCTCCATGATCCCAGTGATCTCAAGCTGGTCTCATGGGATTGAGATCATTTTCCCAATGCCTCAGCAAAGGCCCCTGGCTGACACTCATTTGAGGCCTGTGATTGGTGGACTGGAGCTGCATCTGTGCCACACTGCATTTATGGCTCACTGTGATTGGTAGATCTCTATCAAGTTATGGCCATGCATCTCTTCTGACTACAAGGGAAGCCTGTTATCTCTCTTACTTGATCAGGATAGGTAGTTTCCTGTGTCTCTACAAGCTTTCTGTTAGAGGCTGACCAGCTGACTATGAAATGTTGGGTCAGACTGGACATGGGATAGAAGTTTTGTCTTCAGAAACACCAAACAGGCCAGAATATCAACATGGCAGCAAATGAGGAATTGAGTGCATATAATTGGGTTTGTGAGCAAAGGAAGTCCAACATGGGACCCCAGAAAGCCGAGATATGTCACCTGATATCTAGCATTGAAATGTCAGAGCTGTGGATGAGGTGACAGTTCTTGGATTTAAGGGAGAGGGGAACCACGATTCTCAGTCAGTGGTTATCAATGCAGACCGTGGTCTTTGCGTCTTTCCCTGTGACCTGCATCCTGGAAACAATGTGCAACTCTCTAAGAGATGTCATGTAGGGCAAGGGGTTGGGCCACAAGAGAGACACTGAGACAGATTTCTGGGAGTAAGACATTTATTAAAATTGTTACTAACTCCATGAGCAATCAGAGAACAGCACAGTCAGGCTCTCAGGACAAGAGACACACAAGGATGACTTGGGTTCCAAGGAGAGCGAATCAGAGCCCACATGAAGGCTATCTTCTTATGTCTGTCCAAGAATGGTGATGTTTCACTGCACAATCCTGCAGCCATGAGCTCTGGTTCCCAGAAGGAGACAGGGAAGTATGTACTATGTAAGGTGTGTGATCACCAATAACTATTTAGATGTAAACTCACACCCCTGCTGAGACATCCTTGCTCTGGGAGGTCTTTTAGTAGGGAACTAACAGTGTCTCACCAGGAGCCTGTGGCTTACTCTACTAGGCAGAGGACACCTGTCCACAGTCAGCTTTCTCTGTGTACCATTTGGATTCCCAGGAATCACATCCAGGTCATTGAGCTAGGCAGCAGGCTACATTTCCCTCGGAACTATCTCACAGGTACACATAAATGTTTGTCCATTTATATGTAATTTAAAACACCTCACATAAAATCAATTTAGAAAATGTTATGACTGTGATTTATCACCTTCATCAATCCAATCATTTTTAAAGACATGATCTTTCATTGGCCTGGAACTCAGCAATTGTTCTAGACTCGTTAGAGAGCCAACCCATGACTCTGCCTGTTTCTTGCTTGACCATGGATGGGACTGCAAATTCCTGACACATCCCTGGCTTATACTGTGTGAGCTTCGGATCCATGAAACTCAGATCCTCCTACGCATGTCCCATGCTTTTCTGACTGGATCATCTCTATGGTTCTCTTGCATGACTCTCATAAGAAACTTCCCAGCAGCCCCTCAGCTGCCCCTTGGGATGACAGACACTCACCTGGCTGGGGTTTAGGCTTCACTCTGCTGTCCTGTAGGAGAAGAAACAGTGTCAGTGTGCCAGCCATGCTGGTCCTCCATCCTGCCTCTCAGCTGTTCTCTGTGTTCAGACAACATGAGGGGCCCAGGGAAGCAAACAGCTCTGCTGCAGCCATGCAGGGACAGGTCTGAGAGTCACCAGGACCTGAGGCCAGTGGTCAACTGACCTTCTGTACCACACAGCAAGTCAGAGGAATGACTACTAGTGTACTGACCCATGTCCTGTCTCCCTTTCCTCCCTTCCCCCTGCTCTGACTTCCTGACACAGCTCTGCCTTCTCTGCTCTGCACTCTCCATGTCTCCCTTTTGCCTCCCAGGAATCTGGTTCTCTAGCTCCCCCTCTCAGTGCAGGCTGCTGCTCCCTGAGATTGAGCTCAGGGTTTGAATCCCAGTCAGACTTCTGCTGTCTCTCAGGCTGCTGCTCTCCCTCCTCTCGGTTCTTCTATTTACTGTAATGGAGGGCTGAGCCTGTCTGAAACCACGAGATGCACATTTAAATGTTTATTTGTAAACCTCCATTACACTCCACCATCCGTGCATCTCTGTCCTCGTCCCGCAGTCTTCTAGTTCCCGTGGCTTTAAATCTGCTCAGCTCAGTCCACACTTGGCTCTTGTGTTGTGTGTACAAGGTCTTTCCATCCCAGTGGCCTACAGCTTGCTAGGTAACTGCTGATGGCCTTGAACTCCTGATGTTCCTCTCTGCCCTTCCCATGTGCTGGGATTATCGTGTCTAATTTTTGTTTTGTAAAATACTCATGAATGTCAGGAGGCAAATTATTTAAGTTTACAAAAATGCAATTGGAATTCCAAAAGAGTTGCATTGTATATTTAGTGTTTATGTGTTTGTTGTAAGGAAGTAATGTATAGAATTTTACATTCTGCAAATTACATTTTTAGTATTTCCCTATTTCATCAAAAATTTATTTAATCAATACATGCCCACATGTGTATATTTGCATACATGCACACACATATGGATGGTAGAGGACAACCTTGGGCATTGTGTTTTGGGAGGTGTCCTCTCTAGCTTGTGAGACAGGACAGTCATTGGTCTCACATACTAGGAAAGGCTGGCAGCACAGTGAGCCCCAGGGATCCTAGTTCTCTGCCTGTCCAAGCATCTGACAACTCTTTATGTGGCTCCCGGGATGATGTTCAGGTCCCTGTTACTTGGGAAACTGCAACACCTGTGTAGTTGCTTCATAATTTTTCTCAGGAGATTTAGGTTTCTGGTGTCCCAATCTTATGCGTCACGGAGATTTGAGGTTCTCTCTGCACATTTCTGTCTGTTTGCAGGTCTATTACACACTGTGCTCTTAATTTCTATTTTGATCCCACATTCCCAACTCAAAGAAATGTCTCTTTTCATTAGGTGTCACTTCCTGTGAGATGCAGTCCCTGAATGCTGGTCTAACCTCAGACCTTCTTTAGCAGCCACAACTCTTTCCTAATGAGCAGTCAGCCCCCGAGGCTCCTGTGAGCCTCCTTGAATTCCTTAGGAGCAGGCTCTGTGTTCATCTGCATTTGCTCCTCTAGTTTCCAGCTGGTCTGGAAGGACAGCAGGCTCCAGGGATGCAGTCCTTGTGGAGGTCAGACACATTTCCCTCCTTCTGTTCTCTTTACTGTTCCCTGCACAAGCCTGCCCTTCTCCATCTCCCACAGCTGAGAACACTCCCAGTGGGAAGCTCGGGTGAGGCCTGCCCTGGACCACTTACCTTTGCTTCCACCACAGGAAGATCATGAATCCATAGACGGGGATTATGGTCACACCCTTGGCTATGACCATTGTGACCATGGCTCCCAGGATCATCAGTGAAGGATCCCTCTGTGTCCCTGTGTCCTCCAGGCCAGCTGTGGTGACAGCAGAGGCGATGATGGAGGGGCTCCTCATGGTGGTCCTGAGTGCTGGGGAGAGATGGGAAGTGAGCAGACCCTCCGTGGATGAGGGAGGGTGGGTGAGTGTCACATCCTGTCTCCTCTGTGTGATGTGGGATGGGGAACAGCTGTCAGATGTTCTCACAGAGAGGGGAACAGATGCTTAAGGCTGAGACTCAAGGAGAGCAAGCTAAAGTGAAGTCCCGAACTGTCCTTGTCCACAGATTGTCATTTGGTCACAGAGAAGTAAGGCAGAGAAATACAGTGATTTTTTTCTCACTTAAATGTATGTAACATAGAGATATGAGTAGTTCATAGAGAGTTTGCTGCTTGAGCCTTAGAACCTGAATTTGGTCCCAATATCTACATCAAGAACTCGGTAAAGTGGGCATGACTTTTAATCCTAGCCTGAGACAGAGGCAGGCAGATCTCTGTGAGCTGAGAGCCAGCCTGGTCTCTGTGTCAGGTTCCACACCAGACGGAGCTGAGTGGGCTGTAATCCAGTACTGAGGAGGTGGAGACAGGCTTGTCCCTGTGGCTCACTGGCCAGCTAGCCTAGTCTCCATGGGAAACTTGAAGCCAGAGAGAGAGCCTCTTCAAAAAGTAAGGTGGATGAAACCCTATGCTCTCCTGTAGCCACACATGCATAAACAAATATGCCAACACAGGCACACACACACACACACACACACCCCACACACAGATACACACACACACGCACAAACACAAGTATGCGCAGACACAAACAAACACACAGACAAACAGATACACACACATATATACACACACACAAGTATGCACAAACACAAAGAAACACACAGACAAACAGATACACACACATATACACACACACACAAGTATGCACAAACACAAACAAACACACAAACAGATACACACAGAGAGAGAGACACAGACAGAAACAGAGACATTCACCCAGATACACATACAGAGACACACAGACACAGAAACTTACATACACACATACACACACACACACACATACACACAAACACACACACACACACACAGAGAGAGAGAGAGAGAGAGAGAGAGAGAGAGAGAGAGAGAGAGAAGACATACATCTGACTTAACAAACCTACATGTTCACACACACTGAATACACCAAAATGTGCAACAGAAAAAATACAATTTTAGCCATACGTGTACAGCTCAGTCCAGGGCAGAACACATCCCTTTGCTTTATAAGCATCACTAAGGATAATTTCCCCAACATTTACCTATTTGTGAATTCTAGACCAGAGGTTCCCAACCTGTGCACCACTACCTCACATGGATTGTATATCGGGTATCACGCATGCCAGATATTTACCTAGTGACTCATAATAGTTGATAATTAAAGTTATGAAGTAGCCTTTATGTGTGTAGGCCCACATCACATGAAGAAGTGTATAAAAGATGTGCAGCATTAGGAAGTAGAGAACCACTGAGCACATTGACACATATGTGAAACGGCTCCTTTCTCTGTCTGCCCTGAGTCCGGGCAGCTGCTATCTGACTTTACATCATGTCAACATGGCAGCTGTGGCCTGCACAGATAACTGTGCTGTGGGCTTCCTCTCATAGGCTGACTTTAGTACAGTCAAGAGGCACGTCTGCATGTGGTGGCACATGCTGTAATGTCCACACTCAGGAGGCAGAGGCAAGGCAGACTGCTGTGAGTTAAGGCCAGATGGGTCTACATAGTGAGTATTAGGATAGCCAGGGATGAGTGCTGATGCCCTGACATAAAATAAGTAAGAAGTAAGTAAGTAAGTAAGTAAGTAAGTAAGTAAGTAAGTAAGTAAGTAAGTAAAGCAAGCAACCAAGCAAGCAGAAAGAGGTAGGTAAGTTAAGAAAAATAAGAAAGATCCACAGAGCAAGGTCACCAGAAACAATGCAGCCACACATAGTCCCTGCTTCTCTAAGGCCATGTGCAGGAACACACAGTGACTATGCTGGGCCTTAGGACTCCCAGTGCAGGGGACTGCAGTTCCTTCTGCATCAGAGGGGCTGGAGGGATCAGGAGACAGGGCAGACACATCATGAAAATGCAGGGATTTTCTTATTAATTTTCTAATTACTGAAGAGCCTGGGGAGAGAAGACAGATGTGTCCTGGGGTTTATGAAGGCAAATGAGGACCTGTTGTGACATTTGGCAGTTACACTTAGACCAGAAGACACCAGAACATGCAATGGCCCCTACGATATATTCTGAGCTGAGGTTGGAGCTGTGTGGAGATGCTGCACACAGGGACCAACAGGACCAAGAGAGTTAGCTACATGCTGGAGAAGTTCATCCACCTTGAGGTCATGGGTGAAAGTGGGCAGGACAGTAGTTAGATTTGGAGCAATAAGGGTGTGAGCTATGGGGTAGGGCTCATGCTGAAGTTAGGTGTGGTTCCATCTCAGCACGGAATGACAGACCACAGCAGAGGAGGCAGCAAACGCTTGTCACAACTACAAGGAAAGATGCTGTTGGCACAGGTGCGGACAGAGCCAAGGGAAAGGAATAGGAAACTAAGCTGAGAGTTGTGAAGCCTGAGATGACATCTAAGGGACAAAAAAGCCACAGGTGTCAAAGCCTGAGCAATGGTTGCTCACCACGGATCATGGTGAGTTGGGTCCCAGGAATAGACTGCCATGACTTCATGCCTTCTGTTGTTTGCAGAAAAACTCCACAGAAGTATGCGGCCTGGTCAGTCTCCTTCAAGTTCAGGATTCTGAGGACTCCAGATGTCTGACCCTGTGTCCAGTTTAGGATGAGCCGGTCCTTGAAGTGCTCATGTATGAAACGCAGGGAGGAGTTGTAGATGAAGTCCCCATGGAAGTGCTTCCATCTCCAGGCTATGCTCATCTGAGGATCCTTGGCCAACTCCCAGGGGAAGTAGAAGGAGAAGGGGATCTCGATGGAGCTGCCCTGGAATCCAGAGAGGTGTGCTGGCTGGTTGACCCCAAAGTTATTTTCTCTGCTGTCTCCTGCAGAGTTCCCTGGGAAGGATAGGGAGAATCTGAAGCCACTGCAGGAAACAGTGACAGGGGACAGTTGTAAAGGACAATCCAGAACATTTTGAGCCTTCATTCACAGGAAGGGGTGGGACACAGGGCAGAACTGTCCCTATGGCTTCTGGGACAGGAAGGCATGAAAAGGGTTGGGTTAGGCTCTCTCTGAGGGATGAGCTCTCTTTTGGGACAGAGAGGCCTGGCTGGCTCTAGTAGCAGACACCTGTCCACATGATACCCACTCTTTCCAGCCCCAAAGTCCCCTCCTGTGGTTCAGTCTCTGCTAATGAGGTCCCCACTACTCACCAGCGGGCAGATATGCTGCTGACAGGAGAAGAAGCAGGATCTGAGCCATGGCCAGAGTCCCTCCAGGAAGTGAGATCTGCAGAGCCATCAGGAAGGGGAGAATGCCCTGTCTATGGACACTGGGGTGCTCAGGAGTCCAGAGAGAATCAGGGTAAAGTGAGACAGATCCTAGACCTTCTCATCTGGAGGACTGAGTTGGGGCAGGATCTCTCTGTCTCCACCTCCTTGTGGCCAGCAACTTCCTTTATTGATCTGGCTTCTTCCTTTCCCATGTTGCAGAAGATATGCCCTTGTGGTCACTGACAACATAACTGGGCCCTTGTGCCCAGCCCCCATTGTAGGCTGGGAGACACGGCCTAGACCTTGGCATGGCTGGTTCTCCTCTCTTCTACCTTGACCTTCTGCCTTATCTGGTCTTTTCCATTTTTTAAGTGCCTTGTAATCTCTCTGTCTTCTTTCCTCTCTATTTCCTCTATTCCTTCCCTCCTCCTCCCCAATCTCTTTCTCATTATGTCTTCCACTGTGCTTGTTGTCTGGGTCTCTCTCTAATAATCTCATGTAAAGAAGTTGTCATTCTCTCTGTTTTTACTATTATTGGATTTTTTAAAATTTAATTTTCAGATGTTACCCCCTTTCCAGGTCTCCCTTCCAGAAAACCCCACCCCATCCCTCATTCCCCTGCCTCTATGAGGGTGCTCCTCCAACCTCCCACTCAGTCCTGCATTCCCACCTTGGCATTCCCCTACACTGGGGCTTTGAACCCCTACAGGACCAAGGGCCATTCCTCCCACTGATGTCTAACAAGGTCATACTCTGCCACATACTCAGCTAAAGCTGTGGCACACTCTGTATGTACTCCTTGGTTGGTGGTCCAGTCCCTGGGAGCTCCGGGTGTCTGTCCAGTTGACACTGTTGCAACCTCCACAGGACTGCAAACCCCCTCAACTCCTTCAGTCCCTTCTCCAACTCCTCCATCAGGGACTCCAGGTTCAGTCCAATATTTGGCTTCGAGCATCTGCCTCTGTATTTGTCAGGCTCTGGCAGAGCCTTTCAGGAGATAGCTATATCAGGCTCCTGTCAGCAAGCACTTCCTGGCATCCGTAAAGGCATCTCGGTTTGACAACTGTATATGGGATGAATCTCCAGGAGGAGCAATCTCTGGATGGCCTTTCCTTCAGTTTCTGGTCCACACTTTGTCTCCATATTTCCTCCTGTGAGTATTTTGTTCCCCCTTCTAAGAAGCACTGAAGCATCCACACTTTGGTCTTCCTTCTTCTTGAGCTTCATATGGTCTGTGAGTTGTATCTTGGATATTCTGAACTTTTGGGCTAATATTCAGATATGAGTGAGTGCATATCATATGTGTTCTTTTGTGACTGGGTTACCTCACTCAGGATGATATTTTCAAGTTCCATCCATTTACCTGTGAATTTCATGAAGTCATTGTTTTTAATAGTTGAGTAGTATTCCATTGTGTAAATGTGCCACATTTTCTGTATCCATTCCTCTGTTGAGAGACATCTGGGTTGTTTCCAGGTTCTGTCTATTATAAATATGGCTGCTATGAACATGATGGAGCATGTGTCCTTATTACATGTTGGAGCATCTTCTGGATTTATGCCCAGGAGTGGTATAGCTGGGTCCTCACATAGTACTATGTCCAATTTTCTGATGAACAGCCAGATTGATTTCCAGAGTGGTTAGTTGTATCAGCTTGCAATCAATCCCACCAACAATGGAGGAGTGTTCCTCTTTCTCCACATCCTCACCAGCATCTGCTGTCACCTGAGCTTTTGAACTTAGCCATTCTGACTGGTGTGAGGTGGAATCTCAGGGTTGTTTTGATTTGCATTTCCCTGATGACTAAGGATGTTGCACATTTCTTTAGGTACTTCTCTGCCATTCGAGTTTCCTCAGTTGAGAATTCTCTGTTTAGCTCTGTTCCCTATTTTAAATAAGGTTATTTGATTCTCTAGAGTCTAACTTCTTGAGATCTTTGTATATAGTGGATATTAGCCCTCTATCGATTGTAGGATTGGTAAGGATCTTTTCCCAATCTGTTTGTTGCCATTTTGTCCTATTGACAGTGTCCTTTGCCTTACAGAAACTTTGCAATTTTATTAGGTCTCGTTTGTTGATTCTTGATCTTAGAGCTTAAGCCATTGATGTTCTGTTCAGGAACTTTTTCCCTGTTTCCATGTGTTCAAGGCTTTCCCGTACTTTCTCTTCTTTAGATTCAGTGTGTTTGGTTTTATGAGGAGATCCTTGACTCACTTTGCCTTGAGCTTTGTACAGGGAGATAAGAATGGATCAATTTGCATTCTTCTACATGTTGACCTTTAGTTGAACTGGTTTGCTGTATATTGCTTTTACTATGTTTAGGTGTGAGCCTTGAATTCCTGATCTTTCCAAGACTTTTAACATGAAGGATTGTTGAGTTTTGTCAAATGTGTTTTCAACATCTAATGAAATGATTATGTGTTTTTTTTATTAAGTTTGTTTATGTAGTGGATTTTGTTGATGAATTTCCATATATTGAACCATCCCTGCATCCCTAGGATGAAGCCTACCTGATTGTGGTGAAAGATTGTTTTGATGTGTTCTTGGCTTTGGTTTGCAAGAATTTTATTGAGTGTTTTTGCATCAATATTCATTAGGGAAATTGGTTTGAAATTCTCTTTCTTTGCTGGGTCTTTGTGTGGTTTAGGTACAAGTGTAATTGTGGCTTCATAGAACAAATTGGGTAGTGTTCCTTCTGTTTCTATTTTGTAGAACAGTTGGAAGAGTATTGGTATTAGGTCTTCTTTGAAGGTTTGATAGAATTCTGCACTAAACCCATCTGGAGCTGGGCATTTTTTGGTTGGGAGACTTTTAATGACTGCTTGTATTTCTTTAGGGGTTATGTGGCTATTTAGATGGTTTATCTGATCCTGATATAACTTTACTAATTGTTATCTGTCTAGAAAAATTTCCATTTCTTCTACATTTTCCAGTTTTGTTGAGTATAGGATTGTATAGTAGCATCTGATAATTTTTTGAATTTCCTCAGTTTCTGTTGTTACATCTCCCCTTTCATTTCTGATTTTGTTAATCTGAATGCTGTCTCTGTGCTCTCTGGTTAGTCTGGCTAAGGGTTTATCTATCGTGTTGAGTTTCTCAAAGAACCAGCTCCTGGTCTTGTTGATTCATTGTATAGTTCTTTTTGTTTCTACTTGGTTGATTTCAGCCCTGAGTTCGATCATTTTCTGCAGTCTGCTCCTCTTGGGTATATTTGCTTCTTTTGTTTTTTTATTGAGATTTCAGGTGTGCTGTCAAGGTGCTAGTGTATGCTCTCTCCAGTTTCTTTTTGGAGGCACTCAGAGCTATGGGTTTTCCTTTTAGCACTGCTTTCATTTCGTCCCATAAGTTTGGGTATGATGTGCCTTCAATTTCATTAAATTCTGAAAAATCTTTAATTTCTTTATTTCTTCCATGACCAAGTTATCATTGAGTAGAGCATTGTTCAGCTTCCATGTGTATGTGGGCTTTCTGTTGTTTTTGTTGTTATTGAAGACCAGCCTTAGCCTGTAGTAATCTGATAGGATGCATGGGATTATTTCAATCTTCTTGTATCTGTTGAGGCCTGTTTTTTGACCAATTATATGGTCAAATTTGGAGAATGTACCATGAGGAGCTGAGAAGATGGTATATTCTTGTGTTTTAGGAAGAAACGTTCTATAGATATCTGTTAAATCCATTTGGTTCATCAGTTCTGTTAGTTGCACTGTGTCTCTGTTCAGTTTCTGTTTCCATGATGTGTCCATTGTTGAGAGAGGGCTGTTTAAGTCTCCCACTATTATTGTGTGAGGTGCAATGTGTGCTTTGAGCTTTAGTAAAATTTCTTTTATGAATGTGGTGCCCTTGCGTTTGAAACATAGATGTTCAGAATGGAGAGTTCTTTTTGGTAGATTTTTTCCTTTGGTGAATATGAATGTTCTTTCTTATCTTTTTTGATAACTTTTGGTTAAAAATCCAGTTTATTTGATATTAGAATGGGTACTCCAGCTTGTTTCTTGTCTTTTTTTCCAGCTTGGAAAATTGTTTTCCAATCCTTTACTCTCAGGTAGTGTCTGCCTTTGTCACTGAGGTGCATTTCCTGTGCACATCAAAATGCTGGGTCCTGTTTATGTATCCAGTCTGTTAGTCTATGTCTTTTTGTTGGGGAAGTGAGTCCATTGATATTAATAGATATTAAGGAATAGTGATGGTTGCTTCTTGTTATTTTTGTTGTTAGAGGTGTAATTATGTTGTGTGGCTATCTTCTTTTGGGTTTGTTGAAAGAGGATTACTTTCTTGCTTTTTCTAGTTTGTAGTTTCTGTCTTTGTGTTGGAGTTCTTTTTATCTGTTATCCTTTGTAGAGCTGGATTTGTGGAAAGATATTGTGTAAATTTGGTTTTGTCAAGGAATATCTTGGTTTCTTCATCTATAGTGATTGAGAATTTTGTTGAGTATAATAGTCTGGGCTGGCATTTGTGTTCTCTTAGGGTCCGTATGATATCAGTGCAGGATCTTCTGACTTTTATATTCTCTGGTGAGAAGTCTGGTATAATTCTTATAGGTCTGCCTTTATATGTTACTTGACCCTTTTTTCTTACTGCTTTTAATATTCTTTCTTTGTTTTGTGCATTTGGTGTTTTGATTATTATATGATGGGAGGAATTTCTTTTCTGGTCCAGTCTATTTGGAGTTCTGTAGGCTTCTTGTGTGTTCATGGGCATCTCTTTCTTTAGTTTAGGGAAGTTTTCTTCTATAATTTTGTTGAAGATATTTGCTGGCCGTTTATTTTGGGAATCTTTGCTCTCTTCTATACCTATTACCCTTAGGTTTAGTCTTTTCATTGTGTCCTGGATTTTCTGGACACAGAAAATGCTTTTTGCATTTTGCATTTTCTTTGATCCCTGCTGTCCCTTGTTCCCTGCTCCACGGCTGCCACCTGCTGGCTCCCTAATCCCAAGTCATGGGCTCTGTTCTAGTTTCATGGTTTGTACTTAGCTGAATTCTCATGGGGACCCTGCTGTGGGAAGAGACAAACAAATGCATCCCTTTGAGTTTGAGGCTAGCCTGGTCTATATATCCAGTTTCAGGGCAGCAAGCATGACATAGTAAAAATTTGTCTCTAAAAAATCAAACCAAAGCAAAGCAAACCAAACCAAACCAAGGCAAACCAACAAAAAACAAAAATGCCCAAAATACAAAACAAAAACAAAACAATCTCCCTCAAACAAACCAAAGCAACAAAAACTCCATATATTAAAATACCAAGAAGCCAAGCCAAAAAAAAAAAAACAAAAAACCCTAAGGTTCATAGTCAAATTAGATGGTATCCCTAATCATAATGCCTGAGACTTCATAATCTTACTTACTTATGTATTCATGCATGCACACATGTGTGTGTAAATGTGGACATGCATGTGTGCATGCACACATACACACACATACACAGAGAAACAGATATGTAGATAGATAGGTAGGTAGGTAGATAGATAGATAGATAGACTGATAGATTGATTGATAGATAGAAACCATACAAGGTGTCTTTAACAGCTGGTCAGCTTCCACGACTTTACCCAGTCTTCATCTTGAGTAAACATATGGCCTCCCTCAGACCGGGCTCAGGACTCTATCGACTCCAGTTTCTGACAGTGTCCACAGCATTCAGATTCTCTGATTTTATGCCCAAATTGGTTATTCTATGACAGCTGTGTGTGAGAGAACAGGCTCAAGGCTTTCTATTTCTCTCTGAACCCTCTCATTCCACAAACATCCCTCAAAGAAGACATCCTGCAGGCTCTGTGGGCCCTGACCCAGCAGATAACCTGAAATGAAAAGTATCCCCCTCTTCTCCATTTCTGTCACACTACCTACCTACACTCTCCTTGATTTCTCTTCCCTAGCAACAATACACAGACCCCAAATGGAACCCTAGAGTACCCCACCCAGACTGGGGCCCAGGAAGAGTGGAGGAGAAGCTAGAGAGGGTGGCGGATTGATGCCGGCTGGTTGTGTAGACAGGACTTTCAGGCTGCAGCTGCACCTTTATAATAGCACAGTTTATAGTACTGAGGAGGTGGAGACAGGCTTGTCCCTGAGGCTCACTGGCCAGCCAGCCTAGTCTCCATGGGAACCTTGAAGCCAGTGAGAGAGCCTGTTCCAAAAAATAAGGTGGATGAAACCTTATGCTTTCCTGTAGCCTCAATATACATAAACTAATATATTCACACAGAGTCACAGACATACATAGACATATGCCCAGACACCAACACACATACACAGAGATACACAGACACAGAATGTTACACACAAACACAGACACACAGAGACAGAGATGGAGATATATACACACATATCTGACTTAACAGACCCATATGTTCACACACACTGAATACACCAAAATGTATAACAGAAAAAATACAATTTTATCCATATGTGTACAGCTCAGTCCAGGGCAGAATACATTCCTTTGCTTTATAAACATCACTAAGGATAATTTCCACAGCACTTACCTATTGTGAATTCTAGACCAGAGATTCCCAACCTGTGCACCACTACCTCACATGAACTGCATACCAGGTATCACACATGTCAGATATTTACCTAGTGACTCATAATAGTTGATAATTAAAGTTATGAAGTAGCCTTTATGTGTGTAGACACCCATAACATGAAGAACTGTATAAAAGATGTGCGGCATTAGGAAGGTGGAGAACCTCTATTCTAGACACATACAGGAAACGGCTCCTTTCTCCATCTGCCCTGAGTCCGGGCAGCTGCTATCTGACTTTACATCATGACAACATGGCAGCTGTGGCCTGCACAGATAACTGTGCTGTGGGCATCCTCTCATAGGCTGACTTTAGTACAGTCAAGAGACACCTCTGGATCCATGGTACATGCTCTAATATCCTTACATAGGAGACAGAGACAATTGCTTTGAGTTAAGGCCAGATGGGTCTACATAGTGAACCCCAGGGCTGAATGCTGATACCCTGACATGAAGTAAATAAATAAAGCAAGCAACCAAGCAATCAGAAAGAGGTAGGTAAGTTTTAAAAAAAAAAGATCCACCGAGCAAGGTCATCAGAAACAATGCAGCCACACAGAGTCCCTTCTTCTCTAAGGCCATGTGCAGGAACACACAGTGACTATGCTGGGCCTTAGGACTCCCAGTGCAGGGGACTGCAGTTCCTTCTGGATCAGAGGGGCTGGAGGGATCAGGAGACAGAGCAGACACATCATGAAAATGCAGGCGTTTTCTTATTCATTTTCTAATTACTGAAGAGCCTGGGGAGAGAAGATGGATGTGTCCTGGGGTGCTACAGGGGCAAATGAGGAGCTGTGGTGACAGGTTGCAGTTACAGTTAGACCAGAGGATACCAGAACATGCAATGGCCCCTATGATATGTTCTGAGCTGAGGTTGGAGCTGTGTGGAGATGCCACACATAGGAACCAACAGGACCAAGAGAGTCAGCTCCATGTTGGAGAAGTTCATTCACCTTGAGGTCATGGGGTGAGAGCAGGCAGGACAGTAGTGTTAGATTTAAGGGTGTGAGCTATTTGGTAAGGCACATGCTGAAGTCCAGAGTAGGATGTGCTTCTGTCAGAGCAGAGAATGACACACCACAACAAAGGAAGCAGCAAACACTTGTCAAAACTACAAGAGAAACATGCTGTTGGCAGAGGTGTGGGCAGAGCCATGGTAAGGAAATACGAAACTAAGCTCAGATTTGTGAAGTCTGAAATGACATCTAAGGGACAAACAAGCCACAGGTGTCAAAGCCTGAGCCATGGTTCCTCACCATGGGTCACAGTGAGTTGTGTTCCAGGAATAGACTGCCATCTCTCCAGGCCTTCTGTTGTGCTCAGCCAGAAATTACAGAAGTATAAACCCTGGTCAGTCTCCTTCAAGTTCAGGATTCTGAGGACTCCAGATGTCTGACCCTGTGTCCAGTTTAGGATGAGCCGGTCCTTGAAGTGCTCATGTATGAAACGCAGGGAGGAGTTGTAGATACGTTCCCCACGGAAGTGCTTCCATCTCCAGGCTATGCTCATCTGTGGATCCTTGGTCAACTCCCAGGGGAAGTCGAAGGAGAAGGGGATCTTTATGGAGCCGCCCTGGACTCCAGAGAGGTGTGCTGGCTGGTTCACCCCATAGTCATTTTCTCTGTTGTATGTTACTGAGTTTCCTGAGAAGAATGAGAACAACCTAAAGCCACTGCATGGATGGAAAGAACATCCCAGAGCATCCTGGACCATCATCCACAGGCAGGGGTGGGACACGGAACAGGAATGCCCCTATGGCTGGTAAGACAGGAAAATGAGGGAAGGGTTGGGTTGGCTCCCTCTGAGAGAAGAGCTCTCTCTTGGGGCAAAGAGGCCTGGCTTGCCACTCTTACAGACAACTTTTCATATGACAGTCCACTCTTCTTAGCCCCACTGTCCCATCCTGTGGTTACGTTTCTGCTAGTTAGGTCTCCACCACTCACCAGTGTCCAGACATGCTGCTGACAGCAGAAGAAGCAAGATCCAAGCCATGATCAGAGTCCCTGCAGGTCATGAGACCACCAACGCTTCCATGTAGGAGAGAACACCTTGTACAGCAACACTCGGGTGCCCAGGAATCCAGAGAAAATCAGGATAAAGAAAGACTGATCGCCAGTCCTTCTTAAGTGAAGGACTGAGTGGGACAGGCTCTCTGAATCTCCACTTCTGTGGGGCAGCAACTTCCTTTAATGATCTGGCTTCTTCTTTTCCCATGTGTAGTAGATATGCTCTTGTGGTCATGGACAAGATGGTTGGCCACTTGGGCCCTGCCCCCATTATTGACTAGGAGACATGGCCTTGTCCTCCATAGGCAGGGCTCTCTGGTCTTCCACCTTGACCTTCTGCATTGTCTACTCTGTTCCATTTCCTAAGTGACTTACAATCTCTCTGTCTCATTTCTTCTATATTTCCTCTATTCCTTCTCTCTCCTTCCACAATCTCTTTCTCATTATGTCTCCTACCATGTTGGCTGTCTGAACGTCTCTCTAGAAATCTTATATAATGATGTTGTCAGTGTCCAAACCACTTCAGACACAGTGAAAAAGGCTGAGATGAGGAAACACATTCAGTCCCTGGGCCTAGCATGGTGACCACCCGGCCCTTGTACTGTTCCCCCACATGTACTCTTTGCAGATTCTTGCCTTCAGGGATCTTTCACTGTGCCCAGGCAGGGCCAAGGTCTGGAGGATCGCCTTCGCCTTGCCCTGCTCCCTGTGGCACAGTCTCCAACTTCTCTGGGCTCTTGGACAGTGACTCTAAAGCTTCTCCAGTTTCTAAAGGAGCCTTTCTGTCCCCCCTCCCCTCACCATAACACTCACTCAGAAGAGGATACCAAGGATCAGAGAAGCCCTGGCACATGTCACATGATAGCCACATGGCTGATTGACTAGACTTTAGTCAGATTGAGTTCTTGGAGTCTTCTATTCCACACATAGGCGTCAGTCAGCCTGCTCAGCGCAGCCTCTGAGGAGGCTCTTTCCACAAAGCTCCCCAGTGACTCCCTCTAGTTATGGTCACAGCAGTGGCTTTTAACCCTCAAAACGAGCAAGAAAGTCTTCAGGATTTTTAGAAGTTATCAGCAAGCATTCAGTATAGTTAGAGAACTAGAATGTCCAGAGACCATCAGTCTTTAAAGCTACACTTGCATCTGACTCTGTATAGCTCGTCATCTTACTTTGCTCTCAGAAGTGATTACAGAATACATCATAGACTTCAGGTACAGCACATAGAAGTACTGAGCTGTAAACCTGGTAGACCACTGTACAGCCTAGAATGGAAACATATATTCTACTTTAAAATTGTGGCAAGTATAACTTTGGAATAACAAACACCTATATAATTGTCCTTAAGGCACTCAGGAAGGAAATTGTATTTGATTGTAAACCTAAACAAATACCTGTACCTGTTGAGATCTTGAAACCTAAAGGAGAACCAAATAATGCTATTTCTCTGAACCAGACTAATACTTGATTCCTATCCTCATATCCATTGATAAGCATAGTCCTGTTACTCAAAGACATGTTCTTTTTAAAAGACTTATAGCATTGCAGAAAACCTCAACTTGTCACCATGTAAAGACAATTAACTGTGGGGTTTCCAACCGCATGTAACATATACACAACAGGGCGACCCACTCATGGCTCAGGGAACAACGTGTAAAGGTGACGGAAGATTGGAGTACTAGGGTGCATGCCGAGAGACAATGTAATTTTTTTGTTTGTTTGTTTTTTTCGAGACAGGGTTTCTCTGTGTAGCCCTGGCTGTCCTGGAACTCACTCTGTAGTCCAGGCTGGCCTCGAACTCAGAAATCCACTGCCTCTGCCTCCCAAGTGCTGGGATTAAACGGGTGCACCACCACTGCCTGGCGACAATGTATTTTGTAATAGTGGAGCTGCAACTATGATGTCATAAAAAGTGGGTCATCTATGTAAGACCTACAAAATGACATTACTAGTTGGCCTGGCAAAGGGAGGAGAAACTTTTCACCTATCCACACAGCCCTGTGGAGAAATCCGTAGCTTCAGTGAATGCTGAGACGTGGAGATGAAGTCTTCTATGTTATCTGATCCCCTCATCGATCATGGACATCAGCAGTACATGTTTTACACATACATATATGAGGCTAATCATTTATATGGATAAACATTGATAAATCAATCAACAAGTTAATCAATTACAAAAGAAAAAGGACCTCTGTTATTGTGCTGAACTGTAGGTCTTCAGTTGCCCTATTCCCCATGATGCTCCTTTCAGTACTACATAGCTTGAGCTCCCTTATCAGATGTAATGATAAGAAATCTGATTAGGTTTTATAATCCTATATAGTTGGATTATTAGTCCCTATCACAAAACCAAGGATAAATCTGAGTTGTATGGTCCTAGATTTTACCTGGTATTTACTAGCATGTATTCCATTTAAGTGAATACAAATATTTTCAAAAGTCCTCTACTCAGGGCTGGAGAGATGGTTTGGTTGAAGGTTCTTTCTATTAATTAATAATTAATTAATTAAATTTTCATTCATTCATTCATTCATTCATTCACTCATTCATTCATTCACTTTGCATCTGCCCCCATGTAGTTCATTTTGAAAGCATTTTCTGTTCCCTTGCATCTGAGGAATTCGAAAATAAACAATTATTCTAAGAATACGAATTGCTCTTGTTTCCACTGCCTACAGAAGACACAGTCTTGGGATCTACACCTAGATGGGGATGTGTGTATTTCAGATATGTTTAGTTTATTGCTGCTGAGACTGTTTTCATTTGGTGGGTGAGGAAGTGTCATGTAAGCTCCTATTATCTCTGCAATGGTTTGAGTCTATATTCACTCTTGAAGTCAAAATAGATAAACTTCATTTTTTTCAAACATATCCGTGCCTAGTTTATTGATTTAGGAGTCTTTAAATTGTTTACCCAATGAGTATTTAGCTAAAACCAGACTTGGAGAAACACTGAGACCCCGGTCTCCTCTGACCTTTATGACCCATTGTGCCAACTGGTTATGTTAGCATGGTAACAGCTTTCTCAGAGGCATTGTTTGTGGTTGTTTCCAGTGACCCTGTCTCATGGAAGTATCTGGATCTGAGTGAAATGTTTTAGCTGAATGGCAGCAATGTTGGTGGCTATGCTTTTTCAGAGGTTGAAAGGCTTATTAAATATATGTGGCAGAAGCTTAAGATGTTCAGGTAAAGTTGGTAGCTGCATATGCTTTTGTACAGTATTTTTTTCTCAGCTTAAATGTTTAAAAAAAGGATTAGCACAAGAACAGTGGCAAAAACGTGTAAACATGGCAAATTTGATGGTTTTTAGCATATGTGTGGGGAATCCTAATCATGCAGGATTATTGTCTTAAGCTGAATAATCTTGTTATTGGTAATAATTACATTTTTTAACTGTTTTGTAGGACGCATGATTTTGTCATGGTTCACCCATGGAAAACCTAGGACAACTTGCAGGGATCAGTTTTGTTCTTCCATCATGTATGTTCTTGGAATTAGTCTGACGTTATGATGCTCTTCAGAACCATCTTTATGTGCTGAGTCATCTCAGTATCTCATGAACATAAACTCTTAATAAAACACCAGGACATGATGTTGTTTGGTAGATATACTGTATAGAGTGGCTTGATCTTAATTGTTTTCAAATCTCAAATAAACATTGGCTTATTTGAGGGTTTCTGGCTTTACGCCCCTATGAGGAAAAAACCCCACCATGCTACAGTGAAATAGGTATTTGATTCATAATATATCTGATGGATGACTCAAGCAGTAACCCATTATTATCTTTCCTTCCCTTACATAAGAATTTTCCTTTCATACCTTCTAATATAAAAGAAAGATGGGTCTTTATTCGGACCACATTTACTTTAATCATATTGGCAAAATACAGTTGATCACAGACTTTTTGAAAAGATGTGTTCTGGAGATCATATAAGGATGCTTTTTACTTCAGAACCAATTGTTTTTTATTAAGAATGTTATCCCTGTTTTTGATGTGAGCCCTGAAGATCAAAACTAATTCCATATTGCCAGAATGTCCTTGCATCTGGAGCAGATCTCTGGGTAAATATTTCACAATGCTGAAATAAACATCAGCCAGTATGACAATGAGTCACTCATATGGAAAATAGCTGAGTAAGGGAAGTCAAAAGGTGTGGGGCCATCAAGGGATGGCTTGGTTTCTGGTGTGGCATAGGCCTTGAACCCTGACCCCAATAGGGAAGTGGCAGGTGTTCGGCCACACTCCCAGAACCCAGGGTCCTGGCACGTGGTCTAAAACTTCCATTTGACCTGTGCCTTGCAGTCACATAGGGCTATGTAGCCCCTCCCAAAGAGGTGTCACCTAACACAGGTAGAGGGCGTGATTACAGGCTTCAGCCTTAAGAGATTTCCACATTAATGAGTTACCTAAAGGCCAGAGGGCGTAGTTAATTAAGTATTCTTTCCAAGACCCTATTTAAGTCAGGTACCCCCTGACTTAAGTGGGGGTGCACATCCATATCATCTATCAACTGCCATGTCAATAAAGCTCTTGGAACCCCGGACTCCTCGTGTCTTTTGGTGCCCGCCATGTGAAAGCCTGGAGAAGGTCTTAACTATTTAATCTCCCGTGGAGAGCTTCTCTGCGTTTCTGCTTCGGCCGCATCTTCAAACAAGCCAAGCGAGTAGCAAGAGTCCCTTTTCCATGGGGCTCGGCCCAGAGCTTTCACTCCCCCCTTCACTTCTCGCATGTGGGCCTGTCATTTCTCACAGAACATTGCCTTTGTGCCTACAGTCTCTGTTCGTCTGCAGCCACCCGCAGTGGCGCCTGGGAGCCCCATAAGGAGACACTAGCCTCTGGGTCCACTCGAGAGCCTCAGGCTGAGTTCACCTCCCGCCCAGGGGCGCCCCACTGGCTTCTCATAGCCCAGCGCTCGCCCAGTGCCATGTGGAAGGGGACTTCCCGTGAGCGCTTCTGCTTCTCTGCGGAGGAACGGGAGGACCACCTCCCTGAGGCATCTGCCCCGGGCAGAAGAAATGT